TATATATATTATCAAGAGAACTGTTAGCTTGGCATCCCCAACCCCACCGTATGTGAAATAAGCCCGCTGTGCTATGCCCAAGGATATATTATCAAGCTTTATATTTCACTGGGTGACTTTTTGCGGAGTTACAAATCCTGTAACGCCCAATGTATTGCGCTTGTACATGTCTGTTTGCCATATGCATATGTTAAGTCCTGATTATGTAACTTTTACGAATACGTGTACAGCTACAATAAAGATAAAGCAACCTATCTATTGTACATCAAAACAGAATCCACTACATGATTATGTATATTCGTCGAAAATATGCACGGAAGCCCTCTTTTTATTTGAGGGAAAGATGATGTCAGTAGTTTTATTTACCTAGTCGGGTCTCCGCTGAAACCTGATGCTTTATAAACAGTGACCCTGTGTTGAACAGAAGTTCAAAGTTCATCTGTAACGGTATCTCACCTGAAGCGTATAGGTGTCATGGCGGAGGCCGTACTCAGCCAGATTTCCGGCGACTTTCTGGAGTGTACGATCTGCCTTGAGCCCTACAAGGACCCCAAGATCCTGCCGTGTCTTCACACCTTCTGTAAGGACTGTCTGGAGAAGTTTGTAGCGAAACAAAGTAAAGTGAAGGACAGGTTTCCGTGCCCAACATGTCGGATCGAAACTGTACTTCCGGAAGGCAGTGTCGCCGGGCTCAAAAACAACTTCTTTGTCCTGAGCTTGGGGGACACCGTGGACGCTCACAAGAGTTTGGTTAGCAAGGAAGATGACAAAGTGTCTTGTGATGTCTGTGAAGAAGAAGTGGCTACTTGTGGCTGTGCTGTGTGTGAAGAGTTTTTGTGTGACGAATGTGCTCGTGCCCACCGTCGTGCCAAGCGTACACGTGACCATGAAGTCATCGGAGTGGCGAAATTAAAAGAGCAGCTGATCACCAAGACGTCATCGGTCAAATCGACATCACTGCCGATGTGTCCAAAACATGAAGACGAGAAGCTGAAGTTCTACTGTGAGACGTGCCAGAGTCCCATCTGCCGAGACTGCACGGTACTGCAGCACAAGGACCACAAGTACGGCTTGCTGGCCGACGTTGTGAGTGACGTCAGGGCAAAGATCAAAGGCAAACTGGAAGCTACCATGCCGAAAATTGAGGAATACCGAGACGTTGCAGGGCTTGTAGCTGAGAAACAGGCTGAACTGGACACCAGGAGTAAGAAAGCTGCAGACGACATCGATGCAGCTGCGGAGGAAGAGATCAAGTACTACACTGGCCTTGTCAGACGCAAACAGACTGAACTGAAAGAAAAGTTAGCGGTCTTCACAGCAGCCCGTTCCAAGCAGCTCTCTGCTACAGCAGACAGTGTTGAGAGCACCTTAGGCTGTCTGTCCAGCACAGTGGACTTCTCACAGAAAGTCGTGCAGCATGGCAGTGACTTTGACGTCATGAACGTGTACTGTGACGTCACGGCCCGGCTGGAGTCTCTGCTGAAAGGTCCAACCCCGGACATTCCTGACGACATCAGTTACGTCAGGTTTGAGCCTAGAAAGGAAAGGGAGGAAAGGGAAATGATCCTTGGCGACATTGTCGGTACGTTATTCAGCATTATTTTTTAAAGAGTAAAAATACAAATTTAGATTTTGAAGGCACCCATGCCCAGGCAGACATTTGGACAAAAACCTCTCCACGTAAATCTGCATCAAATACATGTAGTAACTTGAAAAAGTTGAATAGATGGCATCCACTCACGGAATGAAAAGAAGAAGTTGAACATGGTAACTGGTATCTGTTCTTTAAGATACTGACTTGAAATTTTCCTATGTTGTTTAGCCTGAACCATGTTTCTTGGATATCTGATGAACACTGTACCGTTTTTGTTTCCCTCTTAGACTCTTCCTTCCGAACTGCCAAGTTGACCACCCTGGGCGCCAGCGGCCGTCTGGGCCCGACTACCCTGGGTACCCACTACAGGGGACAGGACCATGAACACCTGGTGACGCTACATGACGGGATACAACACTTCACTGTACCGCGGACGGGAACGTACAGCATAGAGGCAGCGGGTAGGGACGTTTATTTAATAGTAAATGTAACTAATGTAAAGTTTGGTTTACTTAATTAGTCATACAGAAATACATGTTTGATTCGTCGAAGCCCAGCTTATAATAACTTTATGCTTGAATTTTCTTTTTCGTGCTGTAGTGATTCAATAGTCCTTGTTTCTTTAGATTTGTGTAGTGAAAGTGCCTGACATGTTTGATTGACAGGTGCTGCTGCAGGGTGGGGTCGGTCCAACCCAAAGTCCGTCCGAGGACGGGGTGCCGTACTGAGGGGAACATTTAACCTCAAACAAGGTGCGATACCTCAGCTGTAGTACATGTGCTCGTTTTAATATTTCTTGGCCTGTTTATGTGAAACACTGTATTTCATTTCACCACCTTGGTTTGAGTATCAAATTACCCACACTTCCACTAAGGCCATGTTGATTTGATTATATGGATGACATCCGCGCGCGCATGAATTTTCGGCCGTTTCCAAAAAAAAAAAGTTTTCAACCATACTGTAAATCGTACAAAACAGTTGCAAAATGAGCAAAAATATACCATAAGTTACAACAAAAATTAATAAAAACTATACCAATGTCGTAGAATGCCAAAATCAAACGAAAAAAGACGAAATTGTAAAGAAATTAACTTGAAGACTAGATTATTCGCCAAACCATATTCTGTGCCATTTGCTCAACCCTCATGACCACGTAGATTTCATAATGAAAAGAACTTTTTTTTTGCAAAACTTTTTTTTATTCGCACGCGCGCATCAGTTTTGGGGCTCCCGGAGGATGTCATCCATATAATCAAATCAACATGGCCTAAGATATGTGTGGAAATTTGGATTATCTATATAGTACTTTTGTTTAAAACAGTATCTAGTGCTTCAAGATATAGAGATAGCGAGACTAAACAATGGATGGAATCTCTGATCTTCCTTTTTCAATACTGCAGATGAAACTCTGAATGTCCTGGTGGGACAAGAAGGTGCTGGGAACACGGCTCGCTGGGGTGTAGGAGGAGGGGGCGGTACGTTTGTCACCAGGGGAGATAACACGCCTCTCATTATCGCAGGGGGTGGGGGAGGGGCAGGGTGGGGACTACAGACTCATAACCCCCTGTGTGACGGGACTGTGTCCACTACTGGTAACAAGGCTTATGGGGGATCTGGGTGTAGTGGAGGATCTAATGGACAGGGGGCGACAGAATGGAAGGGTAACTTCATGGGTGGGGGAGGGGAGGGCTGCTGACGGGTGGAGGGAGTTCTAAACGGTTTGGAGGCGACAGTTGTAAGAATGGTGGGGAAGGTGGGAAGGCGTTTGTGAATGGCGGGGTTGGAGGGCGTGGGACACGTAATAATGCTGATGGTGGGTTTGGTGGAGGGGGAGGGGGTCATGGGGAGGGTGGTGGAGGAGGTGGGGGAGGTGGATACTCAGGGGGAGGCAGGGGAGAGGATCGTGAACCAAATGGCGGAGGAGGAGGCGGTTCGTTTAACTCCGGTACTGACACGAGCGGTCAGGATGGGGCAAACGACGGACCCGGGTATGTGGTCATCACCAGACAGGGGTAGATACTGAAAAGTAACATTTGTAGTCACCATCTTAAGAGGAATGAAGATAAACGCGCTATCATATAACAAATACCGACTATGCATAGAGCAGAAAAATGTTGACAGGCTTCTTTAAGAGCTCAGACAGACGTAATTACTAGTAAGGACTTTGCATGTGTTTATATAATAATAAGCCTTCAAATGTGATATTCTGGCTAACTGTACCAAAATAACACTTTAACTCGGAATGAGGACTTTGAGTTGTAAAATATACAAGTTAGAAAGTATGATCTACTTGAAAGTAATAGGGGTAAGAGAATGGATATGCCCAGTATAATAATCAGATATATGATATTAAAGCAGAGAAACATCAATTTCTTTGTTTCCTAAGTCGGATATAAGCAGACAGTTCTTGCATGTTTCATTCTGTTGGCTATCACTGCAACGAAGTAAAATACTTAAGGATGAGAATCATGAGAGTTTGTATTCTTTTCCAAGCCTTCAATTCAAATTTTAGGCAAATCGGCATATCTACTAACTCACTGGAATTCTTCATTCTGTCAACTAATGGCATTCAGCAAATACATGATTAAAGGATGGATGTTTTGTATTCGTTGTCTTGTGGCCAACTTTTTAGTTAATCCTCTATGCTAAGTTTTCAAAATGGAATGGCTTTATCATCAAGGTACATGGACTTGTAATGTGTAATGTGCTAGTTACACTGACAATAGAGCCAACGCGCAGGCAAGGTTCACTCCATGTTTAAAGTTAAAACTTTTGGTCCAACACAAAAAAAGTTCTCTCACCTAGAGCTTTCGACCAGTCACTCTGGTCTTCCTCAGTAGACTGACCCAGTGAAGCTTGTCACGTGGCGTCTTTGAATTGTGACGTCAACACAAGGTGAGAGAACTTTTTTGTGTTGGACCAAAAGTTTTAACTTTAAACATGTAACTACCAACACAGATGAACTTTCATGACAAGGATCATTCCAGTTGTGTGGTATAATACAGCGGACATTAATTAACAGTAGAAGAAATGCCGTCACGACGTGTTGAAAAGAATAACAGGTTTTTAACGTATCACAACATATTTGGTACAAAGCATACATCGTTACACAGTTAATTTCAAACAACACAGTTGAAGGTCCGTTGTGGTACATCCGGGACACAACATAAAAACCAACCATGTAACTCACAGACAAGCTCTAGGTAGGTTGCACACTGTGATATTGTCTTTCCACTAGGTTGGATACAATGTCGTCTACCTGACTATTGAGAAAACATGTCAAATGCCATGGCAACACTAACTTGGCACATTCTTTGTTCTCCCACAGCAGAATCAAGTATTTTCTTTCTCTGTTCATCTTTCGTTTTAAATCGTCGTCAAGCCTTGGAGGAAACTAATCATTTCATTAAGTTATATTTTTTGTCATATACCGATCATATAGCTGTGCTACAAATTCATGCATTGTTGATGCTTGTTGTCTGTAGCTTGGTCATTCTGCTCTATTTATACACACATTATCTGTTTTTTTCTCTTCTCTTCTTCTTCCTTGGCTACAGTTACTGGGTTTATACCGACACAACAGTGGCTGCTGCTTTAGTGCGTAGCTTTACCCCCAATGTACAAAACGTTTTCCCCAAAGCCAGGCTCTGTCATTACATAGTGCCAGCTTGGAATAGCCCTGCCCACCCACCTAACCCAGTATACAGGTACCTACTGTGTGCTGTACATACTACATGTATAGGCCAACTCTTCAAAAGCTTAGTATGTTGTCTACAGGACAGCGAATAGCCACGATACGGGCTTCACTATATATATATATTTATCGAGAGAACTGTTAGCTTGGCATCCCCAACCCCACCGTATGTGAAATGAGCCCGCTGTGCCATGCCCAAGGCTATATTATCAAGCTTTATATTTCACTGGGTGACTTTTTGCGGAGTTACAAATCCTGTAACGCCCAATGTATTGCGCTTGTACATGTCTGTTTGCCATATGCATATGTTAAGTCCTGATTATGTAACTTTTACGAATACGTGTACAGCTACAATAAAGATAAAGCAACCTATCTATTGTACATCAAAACAGAATCCACTACATGGTTATGTATATTCGTCGAAAATATGAACGGAAGCCCTCTTTTGATTTGAGGGAAAGATGATGTCAGTAGTTTTATTTACCTAGTCGGGTCTCCGCTGAAACCTGATGCTTTTATAAACAGTGTTGAACAGAAGTTCAAAGTTCACCTGTAACGGTATCTCACCTGAAGCGTACAGGTGTCATGGCGGAGGCCGTACTCAGCCAGATTTCGGGCGACTTTCTGGAGTGTACGATCTGCCTCGAGCCCTATAAAGACCCCAAGATCCTGCCGTGTCTTCACACCTTCTGTAAGGGCTGTCTGGAGAAGTTTGTAGCGAAACAAGGTGAGGCGAAGGACAGGTTTCCGTGTCCAACATGTCGGATCGAAACTGTACTTCCGGAGGGCGGTGTCGCCGGGCTCAAAAACAACTTCTTTGTCCTGAGCTTGAGGGACACCGTTCAGGCTCACAAGAGTGTAGCTAGTGTGGAAGAAGACAAAGTGTCTTGTGATGTCTGTGAAGAAGAGGTGGCTACTTGCGGCTGTGCTGTGTGTGAAAAGTTCTTGTGTGAGGAATGTACTCGTGCCCACCGTCGTGCCAAGCGTACACGTGACCATGAAGCAGTCGGCGTGGCAGAACTAAAAGAGTGGCTGATCACCAAGACGTCATCAACCAAGTCAGGATCTCTGCCGATGTGTCCAAAACATGAAGACGAGAAGCTGAAGTTCTACTGTGAGACGTGCCAGAGTCCCATCTGCCGGGACTGCACGGTACTGCAGCACAAAGACCACAAGTACGGCTACCTGGCAGACGTTGTGAGTGACGTCAGGGCAAAGATCAAAGGCAAACTGGAAGCTACCAGGCCGAAAATTGAGGAATACAGAGACGCTGCAGGGGTCGTAGCTGAGAAGCAAGCAGAACTGGACACCAGGAGTAAGAAAGCTGCAGACGACATCGATGCAGCTGCGGAGGAAGAGATTAAGTCCTACACTGGCCTTGTCAGACGCAAGCAGACTGAACTGAAAGAAAAGTTAGCGGCCGTCACAGCAGCCCGTTCCAAGCAGCTCTCTGCTACAGCAGACAGTGTTGAGAGCACCTTAGGCTGTCTGTCCAGCACAGTGGACTTCTCACAGAAAGTCGTGGAGCATGGCAGTGACTTTGACGTCATGAACGTGTACTCTGACGTCACGGCCCGGCTGGAGTCTCTGCTGAAAGGTCCAACCCCGGACATTCATGACGACATCAGTTACGTCAGGTTTGAGCCTAGGAAGGAAAGGGCGGAAAGGGAAATGAAACTTGGCGACATTGTCGGTACGTTGTACAGCATTATTTTTTAAAGAGTAAAAATACAAATTTCGATTTTGAAGGCACACATGCCCAGGCAGACATTTGGACAAAAACCTCTCCACGTAAATCTACATAAACTACATGTAGTTACTTGAATAGATGGCATCCACTCACGGAATGAAAAGAAGAACATGGTAACTGGTATCCGTTCTTTGAGATACTGACTTGAAATTTTCCTATGTTGTTTAGCCTGAACCATGTTTCTTGCATACTAGTATCTGATGAACACTGTACCGTTTTTGTTTCCCTCTTAGACTTTAACTTCCGATCTGCCAAGTTGACCACCCTGGGCGCCAGTGGCCGTCTGGGCCCCACTACCCTGGGTACCCACTACAGGGGACAGGACCATGAACACCTGGTGACGCTACATGACGGGATACAACACTTCACTGTACCGCGGACGGGAACGTACAGCATAGAGACAGCGGGTAGGGACGTTTAGCTTATAGTAAATGTAACTGGTGTAAAGTTTGGTGTACTTCGTTAAGCACACGTGCACATGGAAATAAGTATTTGGTGCGTAATCTTAATATTACCAAAATAATTTGAAGCCCATAACTTTTTGCTTCAATTGTTTTCTCTTTCGGTGCAATAGGCATTCAATAGTCCTTGCTTCTTTAGATTTGTGTTCTGAAAGTGCCTGACATGTTTGATTGACAGGTGCTGCTGCAGGGTGGGGTCTATACAACCCGAAGTCCGCCCGAGGACGGGGTGCCGTACTGAGGGGAACATTTAACCTCAAACAAGGTGCGATATTTCAATTGTTGGACATGTACTGGTTTAGTCTCTGTAACTTGAACTTCTGGACCGAGTGTCTGTTAATTTGAAACTATGCAGCAATAAACACTTATCTTACTCTCTAGGTGACAAGCCAACTTGAGATCAGTGTTACAACATTAGTATTATAGAGTACACAGAAAGAAATATTTGGATTAGTTACCTGCTTCCATTCTACTAGTAATTAAGAAAGTAAAAGAAGAATTGACTAATTGACTAGTAAGGATCATTATTCTTCTCCATGTTTATCCAAGAAGGTGAGATGAGTACTAGTATATGGATACAAAATCTGATGTTCCTTTTCCAATACTGCAGGTGAAAACCTGAAGATCCTGGTGGGACAAGAAGGTGCTGAGAACACAGTTGACTGGAGTGTAGGAGGAGGGGGCGGTACGTTTGTCACCAGGGGAGACAACACGCCACTCATTATCGCCGGGGGTGGGGGAGGGGCGGGGTATAATCTACAGACCCATAACCGCCTGTGTGACGGGACTGTGTCCACTACTGGTAACAAGAGTTATGGAGGAACTGGTTGTAGTGGAGGATCTAACGGACAGGGGGCGATAGAATGGAAGGGTAACCACATGGGTGGGGGAGGGGGAGGGCTGCTGACGGATGGAGGGAGTTCTAAACAGTTTGGAGGCGACAGTTGTGTGCTCGGTGGGGAAGGTGGGAAGGCGTTTGTGAATGGCGGGGTTGGAGGACGTGGGGAGTATAGTAATGCTGGTGGTGGGTTTGGTGGAGGGGGAGGGAGTTATGGGGCCGGTGGTGGAGGAGGTGGGGGAGGGGGGTACTCAGGGGGATGCAGGGGAGAGAGTCGTATCCCAAATGGCGGAGGAGGAGGCGGTTCGTTTAACTCCGGTACTGACACGAGCGGTCAGGATGGGGCAAACGACGGACCCGGGTATGTGGTCATCACCAGACAGGTGTAGATACTGAAACGTAACATTTGTAGTCACAATCTCAAGAGGAGTGTAGATTAACATGCTATCATATAACAATACCTACTATCCATTATTATCATTATCTTGATTGAGTACTTTATTATGCTTGGTACTTAAAAGTCTGTTGTATTTTTATACTGTTAACCGATTGATTTTAGCTTAATCTTTACTTGTTAGTTTACTGTATACTGTATAGCATGATATATTGTGTATGTTTAATCCTTGTATTGTTTGGCACCCGACATCAGTTATGCTGCCTGGGTGGCCAGTGTATTGTATTGTTACAATCGAATTTAAAAAAAAACTACTATCCATACAGCAGCGATGTTGATAGGCTTCTTTAGGAGCCCAGACAGCAGTCGTAATGACTAGTAAGGACTTCTACATTAAGTTGCACAATATGCAAGTTAGAATGCCCTGAGTATGATCTACTCAAGTTGAAGTAAAAGGGTAAGAGAGCGGATATGCCCGGTATAATAACCAGAGGTAACAGCAGATAAACAGCAGTTTCTACTTTCAAGAAGTTGTTTCGGACTAAGTCGGATCTATGCAGACTGCCCTTGCCTGTTTAACTCTGTTGGCTATTGCAACAAAGCAAATATACTTAACTTTCTTGCCTTCAATTCAATCTTCAGGCAAATCAGCATATGTAATAATTCTTTTCATTCTGTCGACTATTGGAATTCAGCAAATACATGATTAAAGGATGTATGTCTTGTATTCATTGTATCAGCGGCCAACTTTTAGTTAATCCTCTATCCTAAGTTTTCAAAGTGGAATGGCTTTATCATCAAGGTACATGGACTTCTAATGTGTAATGAGCCAGTTACATTGACAATAGAGCCAATGTGCAGGCAAGGTTCACTTCAGTTGTGTGGAATAATATACAACAGGCATTTACTCTCCAAGCAGAGGTTTGGGTTTATTTTTGGCGTGTTTTTAGGCTTTTTTGGGGGGGGTTCTCTTTTGCACTGGAATTTTTTTGGGTTGGGTGAAAAAAATTCCAATGCAAAAGAAAAATCCCGATAAAAAGCCTAAAAACATGCCAAAAATAACCCCATACCTCTGCTTGGAGAGTACAGGCATTAGGCAACAGGCAAGTAGAAGAAATGCTGTCACGACGTGTTGAAAAGAATAACAGGTTTTTAACGTATCACAACATATTTGGTACAAAGCATACATCGTTACACAGTTAATTTCAAACAACACAGTTGAAGGTCCGTTGTGGTACATCCGGGACACAACATAAAAACCAACCATGTAACTCACAGACAAGCTCTAGGTAGGTTGCACACTGTGATATTGTTTTTCCACTAGGTTGGATACAATGTCGTCTACCTGACTATTGAGAAAACATGTCAAATGCCATGGCAACACCAACTTGGCACATTCTTTGTTCTCCCACAGCAGAATCAAGTATTTTCTTTCTCGGTTCATCTTTTCTTTTAAATCGTTGTCAAGCCTTGGAGGAAACTAATCATTTCATTAATTTATATTTTTTGTCATATACCGATCATATAGCTGTGCTACAAATTCATGCATTGTTGATGCTTCTTGTCTGTAGCTTGTAAGAACGTATACGTAAGACATAGCGTTTAGAAAATGGCAGTCCTTACCATATATTCAAGCGACAATTCAAAGGTAGAACGGCTAGACCACATTTACTTTTGTACCGTACATCGATAAATAAGCTAGTCACGTGTGTGACTAGTGTGTGTGCATAAAGGTCAATGACCCGTCCTCGCAGTCTCTTACATTATCTATTGTACATCAAAACAGAGTTCATTACATATTCGTCGGCTATTGAGGGAGAAATGATGTCAGTAGTTACATTTACCTGGTCAGGTCCTCGCTGAAACCTTATCCTTTTGTAAACAGTGACCCTGTCTTGAACAGAAGTTCAAAGTTCACCTGTAACGGTGTCTCACCTGGGGCGTACAGGTGTACGTCGTCATGGCGGAGGCCGTACTCAGCCAGATTTCGGGCGACTTTCTGGAGTGTACGATCTGCCTGGAGCCCTATAAGGACCCCAAGATCCTGCCGTGTCTTCACACCTTCTGTAAGACCTGTCTTGAGAAGTTTGTAGCGAAACAAGGTGAGGCGAAGGACAGGTTTTCGTGTCCAACATGTCGGATCGAAACTGTACTTCCGGAGGGCGGTGTCGCCGGGCTCAAAAACAACTTCTTTGTCCTGAGCTTGAGGGACACCGTCGACGCTCACAAGAGTGCAGCTACTATAGCTAGTGTGGAAGATGACAAAGTGTCTTGTGATGTCTGTGAAGAAGAAGTGGCTACTTGTGGCTGTGTTGTGTGTGAAGAGTTCTTGTGTGACGAATGTGCTCGAGCCCATCGTCGTGCCAAACGTACACGTGACCATGAAGTCATCGGAGTAGCGGGATTAAAAGAGCAGCTGATCACCAAGACCTCATCGGTCAAGTCGACATCACTGCCGATGTGTCCAAAACATGAAGGCGAGAAGCTTAAGTTCTACTGTGAGACGTGCCAGAGTCCCATCTGCCGGGACTGCACGGTACTGCAACACAAAGACCACAAGTACGGCTACCTGACAGACGTTGTGAGTGACGTCAGGGCAAAGATCAAAGAGAAGTTGAAATCTGCGAGGCCGAAAATTGAGAAATACCGAGACGCTGCAGGGGTCGTAGCTGAGAAGCAAGCAGAACTGGACACCAGGAGCAAGAAAGCTGCAGACGACATCGATGCAGCTGCGGAGGAAGAGATCAAGTACTACACTGGCATTGTCAGACGCAAGCAGACTGAACTGAAAGAAAAGTTAGCGGCCGTCACAGCAGCCCGTTCCAAGCAGCTCTCTGCCACAGCAGACAGTGTTGAGAGCACCTTAGGCTGTCTGTCCAGCACAGTGGACTTCTCACAGAAAGTCGTAGAGCATGGCAGTGACTTTGACGTCATGAACGTGTACTCTGACGTCACGGCCCGGCTCGAGTCTCTGCTGAAAGGTCCAACCCCGGACATTCCTGGCGTCATCAGTTACGTCAGGTTTGAGCCTTGGAGGGAAAAGAAAGAAACGGAAATTACACTTGGTGACATTGTGGGTACGTTATTCAGTATTATTGTTGACTTGCATGTTAAGTGATCATTTGTTGTAAAACTTTTTCAATACCAAGTGAAAATATAATTTAAGATTTATTTAGATTGCACCAAGACAGACATCCATTTGGATATAACAAAATCTAAGCCTAAGGTCATATTAAGTTACATGTACTTGAATAAGTGGCATCTACACGCGAAATGAGTTTAGTTTGGGGGAGGGCTCTCCTTTTCAACTGTCATTAAATCGTCATTAAAATTGTTTTTATTTGGGGATACTCTTTGAAACACACATTGGGTGAAAGTCAGAAGATGCATAAGGTGACTGGTATCTAGTCTGTAAAAATCATGGTTTGAGGTAATAAAGACTTAATCCTTACCATTACAACGACATCTGTCCCCTTAGATTCCACCTTTGGACCTGCAAAGTTGACCACCCTGGGCGCCAGCGGCCGTCTGGGACCCACTACCCTGGGTACCCACTACAGGGGACAGGACCATGAACACCTGGTGACGCTACATGACGGGATACAACACTTCACTGTACCGCGGAAGGGAACGTACAGCATAGAGGCAGCGGGTAGGGACGTTTAGCTTATAGTAAATGTAACTGGTGTAAAGTTTGGTGTACTTAATTAAGCACACGTGCACATGGAAATAAGTATTTGGTGCGTAATCTTAATATTACCAAAATAATTTGAAGCCCATAACTTTTTGCTTGAATTGTTTCCTCTTTCGTGCTGTAGTGATTTAATAGTCCTTGTTTTTTTAGATTTGTGTACTGAAAGTGCCTAAGTGCCTGACATGTTTGATTGACAGGTGCTGCTGCAGGGTGGGGTGTGGGAAACCCGAAGTCCGCCCGAGGACGGGGTGCCGTACTGAGGGGAACATATAACCTCAAACAAGGTGCGACAATTCAACTGTAGGAGATGTACTGGTTTAGTCTTAACTTGAAACTGTGCAGCGGCTAACACGTATCTTACCATCTAGGTGACAAGCCAACATTAGAACAGTGTTACAACATTGGCATTATAGAGAGTACACAGAAAAAATATTTGGAATAGTTATCTGCTTCCATTGTACTAGTAACTAACTAAAATTGTAAAAGAAGAAATAAGTATATAGGAAAATTGTTATTCTTTTTTTCATGTTAATCCAAAAAGATGGATAAGTATATGATAAGTTCATTAAGTAATGGATACAAAATCGTACAGCATAGAGGCAGCGGGTAGGGACTAATTGGTGTACTTAATTACCAAAACAATTTGAAGCCGGTAGCTATAACTTTACGTATGCTTGAATTGTTTTCCTGTTTCGTTCAATAGTCGATGTTTCTTTAATTATGTGTACTGCAAGTGACTGCTGACATGTTTGATTGACAGGTGCTGCTGCAGGGTGGGGTGTGAACAACCCGAAGTCCGTCCGAGGACGGGGTGCCGTACTGAGGGGAACATTCAACCTCAAACAAGGTGCGATACATCTGTAGTACATGTTGCGATACATCACTAGTACTACTTCCACTAAGAATTGTTTGGAAATTAAGAAGAAATCTTGTGCTTCAGGAGATACAAATAGATAGAAAGATAGAGAGCATAAATAATAGATGAAAATTTCTCAATACTGCAGGTGAGACTCTGAAGCTCCTGGTGGGACAAGAAGGTGCTGAGAACAGGTCACGCTGGAGTGTAGGAGGAGGGGGCGGTACGTTTGTCACCAGGGGAGACAACACGCCACTCATTATCGCCGGGGGTGGGGGAGGGGCAGGGTATGGGCTATCCACCCATAACCCCCTGTGTGACGGGACTGTGTCCACTACTGGTAACAAGAGTTATGGAGAAACTGGTTGTAGTGGAGGATCTAACGGACAGGGGGCGACAGGATGGAAGGGTGGGTGCATGGGTGGTGGAGG